TGTCAATTTTCCCTCTAGCAATAAGAGAGTTTTTAAAAATGTTTGCTAGAAGGAACAAATGCCAAGCCAAAAAAAAAAAAAAAGAATTAAAAAGAAAATAGAAGTCCATTCAGTGTAAGACTCCTGTTTGGTTCCCACTGGTTGGAATCGCTCACATACCATGGTGATAGGGCCATAAGCAAACAGACACACATGCATTTCAGGTTAGATTTAAGGGGAGGACCTGACTTTTTGGCTTTACTCAGACGTATTTCTTATTGGGGTGCTTTGCTTACATAAAGATTAAGCCCCAAATCTGGTATTTAAACTTGACAGTCAAGGACTGCTTTCAGTCAGGAGATACTGTATCTGGGAAGATGCTCAAAATCTCACAGTCCTAAAAATTTGCTTTAACTTGTCAGTAGTATTTGATTAGTTCAACCATCACTGCCAGTTGATATCATATATCTTAGATACAGACACAAATATGCCCAGAAAATCCCCTAAAATTTATGCTAATACTCGGACTGAAAATATAAAGACCACATTAATGAAAAAAAAAATAGCTCAGGCACTTGTCAAGGTTATTAGTTAAAAGAAGTTGATATACAATACATTTGTGAAGGGAATGTGTGTTTTACTGTGTTATTATTCTTAGTAAATCCGCCTTTTCAACAATACAGGTTTTTAATGGCACTCGCAACGTCTGCAGTAGAACCAAAGAGGAGTTCAACTTTGGATTAAGCATACCATCATAAGGTTACCCTTGTTTGAAAAGGAAGAAGGTCATCTATGGAACGATCAGCTAAAGACAAAAAAAAAAGAAAATACGAAAATCAACCAAGGCAGTACTGAGAAGAAAGAAAATGGATGTGGTTCCTCTAACCACATGCCCTGCCTGGTATGTGGACTAGTCTCTAGGAGGAAAACTCAGTCATCTGAGAGTACTTCTTGGTCATTTTTCTTTTAAGAAAATTTATACAAGTATTTCCTGGCTATATACTGTCTTTTGCCCATGCTACCATTAAATCCCAGAGCACCACGTTCAGAAGCCCTGCTTCACTCCGGGTGTTATACATTCCTGCAAGTGGCCTTGTGGATGACCTCAAATCATGCAGAAAGTAATTTCTGCAAACACAACTAGCAGTGTCTGGTCTGATATAGCAGTTGTGCCCTCAAAAAACTTTCTAAAGACTTTGGTGAGATGTGTTTTATTGGGTCTCGTACTGTAATTCGTTTGCTAACAGCGCTGCCTTTTTCACTGTTTCCCTGCTGCTGGCTGCACATGGCAGCATTGGGACGGCAATGCCCTGCACGGCGGGCACTAGGCCACCCCAGCTGCCACCTCTGTACTCCTCTGCAAACCTTTGGCATTTGGGGTTCAACCAGCCCCCAGATCCAGTGTGTGAAACCTCAGAGCGCTGGAGTCTTCATCCCAGGGCCCAGCACATATGCTGAGGGTGATGTCCCCTGGAGAAAGTCCTGCACAGCACTGGTAACTAGCGCATACAATATCCCTCACAAGCTTGGGAAACTTGCTGGACTTATCCCAATAGGCAGTTTACTAGTGAGAGATCCAAAACAGAGTCCTGTGGTTAAAAGAGGAAAAGAAAATTCCTCTTGCATATACTAGGAAAATAAAAACTGTCCACTGTCATTCCTCTTCTTTCTCAAACTTGAAGACTTCTCTTTCCTTTTCCTTTTGTTTTGGATGGTTATGTTCTTCAAAAATAATTTGCTGGCCATTCATGGTCTTCAATAGGAAAAATATAAAGAACAGACTCAAGCAGAAGTCCTTCACTTGCAACAGCACTCTCCTTCACCACTAAATCCCTTTGTGAGGGCTATTTTCACGACTGACAGCACAAATATTAATTTGTACACTGAAAGATACGTGTGTTTGGTAGCTGTTCCTGCATTTTACAAGCCCCAGGGTCTCTGATCACTAGTGCAGAGACACAGCAACCTTCTTGGGGCAAACAGCTTCTTTCAAAGTGATTGCACTCAATTTAAAATAGTAATAGAGCACAGAGATGTCCGGAGACATGACAGTAATGGGATGCTGTGAGGTGGTGAAGGCTCTTGCTCATCATATGACAAGGAGCTCACCCCTTGGCAATGGGACACATGATGTTTAGCTTCCCTCCCTGCCAGTAAATCACGTCCTGACATTGCATTTTATATAGTCACTCCAAAGTTCATACAGTCCCTTGAATTTTGATTAAATAGTACAGCAGAAGTCTCAACTCATGCAAAGAAATTCTTTCCTCATTCAGCCAGATATCTGTGAGTTCTTTCCCAGCTAAATAATTCTTCTTCCTCTCTCCCTTGCTAGGTTTGGGAGGTCCACTGTCCTGCCTGCGTTCAGTGCATGGTCCTTCACTTCCAAGACTGTTTAAACAAATGAAAGAAAATGGTAGCTAAGCAAATCATTAAATTTTGTACACAATGTATTTCTAAGCAGCTTCTGCTCTATCCATCCAACACTACTGCTGATGAATCATCAAGGATATAGTCAGCAAATGAAAGTTTGTGTGCATTACTCCTTCTCTGCTGGAGGAACACGGCATGCCCTTTTAACAGAAAATTTAAGCCATGATGTTATAATTCCTGAGCATTTGTTTATTATTGGAATGCCCATTTCCATGGAACCCAG